GTTCTTTTCCTTGCTGGGATCTCATCCGGTGAAATTAAACCCTGGCTTGCTTCAAAGGCCATTGGACCTTGTTTCTGGTTTGACCCAACTCCACCTGTCCCGTTCTCCTCACTCGATCCCCTGCTCTTTCCTGGCCATCATCCCTCAGCATCCCTGCATGAAATGTTCCCCTGGGGGCAAAATTTCAGATGCCTTCATTTCCCATCATGGTCCCGGCCACTTTCTGGCGCGATTGTCTGTGTCCGTCTCTCCCTTCCCTGATGGCTGGCTGCCTGAGGCGGAGAGGCTGGCTCACATTTTAAAACAGCTTCCATCAATAGAAAATTAGAAATTGAAATCATAACCAAAAACCAAGCCCACCTGGTTGCTGTTGAGTGGAGAGACGAGTAAGCTCCCGGCCAGCCCGTGTGCTGCCAGCCCGTGTGCTGCGGGAGTGCGCTCTGTAAGGTGCGAAAGCTGTGAACGTCCCTGAGGGGAACTCAGAACTACCAACCTTTCGGTTGCTCATCAAATGCTTGACTGTTTGCACCACACAGGGCCTCCAACAGGATGATGGGAATGTGGAGGTGCCCGTTGCAGAATGCGCTGCAGCGGTGAACATTTACTTGATACGAGAAGCCAACCTTGGAAGGCTAGGTTCAAGCACCTCCGTAGCCATTGGGCAGCATGTGGAGGGAGATAATTGGTCTCTCTGGAGCTCGGTTTTCTCATCTGGAAGATGAGGGTTACACAAGTCCCTGTGGGCGCTCCTGGGTTATAGATGAGTCCTAAGGAGAGGGCACGTGGCAAAGGCTGGCAAGGTGCCTGCCAACTAGTTATTGCCCAAATGTTGGCCACTGATTACCTGTGGCTGCTGTGCTAGAGAGTGAGCACAAATACAGCAGGGGTAATGCCCACCCAGAAACCACTTCTATTCACTCCAGAATAGCTTCACGAACAGGTGAGACATTTCTAGATTAAACTCTGTACCCACAAAACAAACCAAAAAACCTCATTTCCATCGAGTTGATTCTGACTCATAGCGACCCTATAGAAAACAGTAGAACTGCCCCTGTGAGTTTCCGAGAATGTAACTCTTTACAGGAGTAGAAAGCTTCGCTCGACTCCCTTGGATGGTTTCAGGCTACTGACCTTGTGGTGAGCAGCCCAGCCACTACCCCACCAGGGCTCCTTCTACCCACAAAGTAGTTGGGAATTGAGTTGCTTGATCTCTTTTGCTGTCACAGACCACCCTCTATCCCTTCTCCTACACTCACAATGGCACGCACATCTCAAATAGCCCCGAGACAAGTGCTTCCTGACCTCAGGGAGGCAAGCAGACTCATCACAGGCCCTCCCAGGCACAGAGAGAAACACTGGAGTCCCTAAGAAATGGCAGCTAGAACTTTCCCCCCAGGTGCTGCTTTGAGAGGAGACAGGAAGGGGTGAGTTCCTGTCCTCCATGACATGGCCCCTCTCCTTCTCTGCCAGAATGTCCGTGTGTTTACGGGACATGCGACAACAGGCTAGACGGTGATGGGGCCTGCCTCGCCGGCACCTGCAGAGATGGTGCCGCTGGGAGGTTCTGCCACAAGCAGCCCTCTGCCTGTGGGCCCTCCATGCAGTTCTGTCACATCCACGCCACCTGTGAATACAGCAACGGGACTGCCAGGTAGGACACTGCCCGCAACAGCCCATGGCCACTGAGCGACCTGGACCCAAACCATATCTCAACTCTTGGTCAACTCTCCAGCTGATAGTCTGACTTTATAGGAAACAACCAAACATACAAATTTATTTAAAATTTTTTAAAAGGAAAAGCCTGCCATCCAGTCAACTCTGACTTATAGCGATCCTATAGGACAGAGTAGAACTGACCCTTAGGGTTTCCTGGACTATAAATCTCTATGGGAGCAGACAGCTTCATCTTTCTCTCATGGACTGGCTAGTATGTTGGGGCTTTCTGTATCATTTTCTTTATAGGAAATCCAGGATATAGACAATAATAACATATAGATCAGGAGCCCTGGTGGTGTACTGGTTATATGGTAGGTTGCTAACCACAAGGTCAGCAGTTCAAAACCACGTGCCACCCCACCAGAAACAGACAGGGCTTTCTACACCCATAAAAAGTGAGAGTGTCAGAAACTTGCAGGGGAAGTTCTTTCAGCATCAACTGGGTGGCGGTGAGTGAGTACAGAGGCAGTAGCTAGATAAATAGCTCTTTAGCGTTGTAGTAGGGGTGGCTGAGGAGTAACGGAGAGGTAATAATAATGGATAGTAATGGAGAGGTAATAATAATGGATAGTA